CCCTTCCCCTAGCTCCTTTGCTGGGGGCCCGGGGCCCTGGCACAGTCGGTAATTATTCCCGTTCTTTGATCATCTGGTGGCTTGCTTCATGCTTCCCCACCTTCCCAAAGGCTTCCAATGTCTGCAGAGACCCGGAACCTGGTCGCCAGCACCCCCACCCCGCTCCCAGCTGACCGACATATAGGGAAGCCAGGGCGATTCTAAGTGGAGGGAAGAGTCTGAAAATCATGGAAGGCCTGGTGCCAGTATGAGGAGTTTGCACTTTTGTCCTAAGGTAACAGGGAGCCACATGGAAGCAGGAGCGTGATATGATCACATCTGAGTCTCAGCAAAGTGACTTTGGTACCAGTGTAAGGACTGATCAGAGCCAGAAGATGGGTGAAGGGGCTGCTCAGGGCATCGGGGCCGCACTGGGGGTGGCCTCGGCAGGCCCGGGGCTGTGGGGGTGGTGAGGAGCGGTTGGGTGAGAGCTGTTTGGGGCAGTGCTGCTGGGCTGCCGGGTCGTGGAGGAAGACTGCAGGGCTGTGTTGGGTGCAGGAGGCTAGACCAGCAGCAGGCTCCTGAAGCCCAGCCTCGGGCCCAGGGCCATCTCCACGGGCACTGTGCTCTGGGTCGGACTTGGCCTCTGTTACTCTGCCACCCTGGAGCCACCGTGCTTCCTGCCAGGGTCCCCTCCTTCCCATCCCGTCCCTCCCTGGATTTGGAGAGCTAAGACGCTCAAACCCACCCTGCATGCGCCGTGAGTCAGCAGAGGACATGGTGAGGGGGCCCCAGCGCCCCCAGCTTATGCCGCCACTCGGGATCCTGGGCTGGCCGGTGCCGACCTGAGGCTGGGTCCTCTGCCGAGACGCTGTTTGTAAACACTCACAGCCGCTCGCTTGGCAACAGGACAACAGCAGCACCACTGAGTCCCTTGGGTGTCCCCCTTGCCCCGCACCCCAGGCTGCTGCAACCAGGAGAGCCTCCCGGGCACAGAAGGTGGCTGTTGCTGGGACCCCAGGGACCACCGAGCCCCACCACCCCAGTCAACTGAGAGGGTGTGGAGGTCAGAGGAAGCCAAAGCCTGTTAAATGATGAGATGAGACCGGACTCCCCGGCCCAGGCTTTGCCCCGCCCCTTGCCACCGGCTTGGTGGTTCGGGCTGGCTCTGAGGCCGGTGTCCTCAGAGGACCTGAATTTTTAGCTCTGCCCTAGAATGGCTCCCAGGTCTGAAGGGAATCTCAGGGTAAAGGCAAGCAGCCTTGACTCTGATAAGCCAATGAGCCTGGAAGAAGGACACCCTGGGGTCACTGCCCAGACGAGGGGGCAGGTGTCCACCCAGCCCTATGGCAGAATGGCCACTGCCACTTCCAAGATGTCCATTGTGGTAGGCACTGAGTGGGAGCCTGGGTTGAGGGGAGTGGGTGGTCAGGCCCCTTCCCACTATCTTCCGTCACCCCAGGCGAGTGGGCTTCCTGGGGCAGAAGGACCTGGCCACCAGGAGATGGAGAGTTCTTGATGTGAGTCTAGGAGGGAGCCCACTCCTTGAGTGTGCATGGCAAAGGACAGGGACTGGCCTGCCTGGCTCGGTCCCGCTCACAGGCTCTGGTGGCCCAATGTGGCCCTGTGGCCCCTGCGACCTGGGCCGGGCCCTGTGGAGCAGCTCTGGAGCTTGGCTTGCTGTTGGTTCAGCACCACTGCAAAGGAGAGCTGGGGCCGTGGCTATGGGTGGTGTGAGGCTGGCTGGGCTGGGGCCGCAGCACCATGTGAGGCCGTGGCGTGGGAGCCTGCGATCTGGGGCTTGAGCCCTGGCACCCTTACTCGCTGACTGCGTCCCTGTGAATGGCAGGTAATTTCTTCAGTGGGGTCTCTGTTCCCCACCTTACAGTGAGCCCAGGGAGCTGCTGTGAGGATCCAACAGTGCGGTGTGTAGGCAAGGGTTGTCCAGGCCCCAGGAATTCGGGGAGTTTACGCAAGCTTCATTCTTCCCTTTCCTGGGGACTGTGGCACTTGGGCGACTTCCGAAAGCTCAGCACATCTGGGAGACTGTCCTCAGACCTGTGGCGCTGACCCCTGTGTAAGATTTCATGGGCACAGGACTTTTTACTCAATAGAATATTCAGTTTGCTACATGCTCAACGACCTCTCTTGACCTGGCCTTTGTGTACTTGCTTCCCTGTGCTCGGGACACCCTTTCCCCTCCAGCCTTCAGTCTCTGCCGGAGCCTGCACTGAGCCACCATACCTGGGCCAGGCACCTCCTCTGGCTCCCCAGGCCTGACCACAGCCCGCACCACACTGCACAGCACTGCCCGCTTCCTCGTGTGTCTTGCCCATGGGACCAAGGGCAGGCCCCCTTCTGGCTTATTCCAGTGCCTAACCCTGAGCTGGATGAGAGCCGGGACCTGTAGGCAAATGCATGGGTGGGTGGGTGGATTGATGATGGATAAACAAATGGCTCTGGCCATTCGCCAGAAAAAACCTGGCGTCGCAGGGGGTCCTGTAAATGCCTGTGCTCTGCTGCGGCTTAGGGCTTGTGAGCAACTTCCATGGACCAGGGACTAGTGTAGTGAGGCTCCAGGATTTTCTCCGGGATGTTTGGGACTGTATAACCGAGCTTCCAGAGGCTCAGCAGGGACATCTTGGGGCTTGGCTTCCCAACCTGTTGAGTCCGTTCTGCCCGTTAGAGGAAACCTCAGTCAGCTCAGAGAGCCCAGCCCAGGTGCTCGCAGTGTACCTGGATCGTCCACTGCCTAGTGAGTCGTTTATCTAATGGGCCCAAGGAAGCGCGCTGGCCAACTGGGCAGGACCCTCCCCAGAGCGGTTTTCTATGGTGGATTCACTACACTCCCCAGCTGGGCCTCTGTTTTGCCGATGAAGAACCTTGATCTGAACCCATGCCAGGAGTGGTTCCTCCCTGTGGGATGACCTTGAACTGATCCAGTTCGTGGAGGCTGCTGGTAGAACAGCTTCTGGCTTAGGCACTCAGAATGTTCTCGATGGCCTGGGACTCACTTCCTCTGCTCCCCAGGGAGCAGCCGAAGCCTCCGGGGAGCTGGTGAGTGTCCCCAGGACTCAGACAGCCTGTCATGCTGTGCGTGGGGTGTGAACTCCTACGGGACCACAGTGCCTGGGCCCAGCAGCCTCCTCGCTGTGACAGCTGCCCCGCTGGCCACCCCTTCGGTCCTGTCATGCCTCTACTTGTGCCAGATACAGTACAAGAAACCTCACATGCCCAGTGATCCTCTCCCCATTTTAAAGAAGGGGAAGTAGAGGTCCAAAGAGGTAGAATATGCTCAGTCTTACATAGCTTCTAGGTGAAGGAAAAGGGACTTGAACTGAGGAGCATTACTTGCTTCCTCTGCAGTAACTCTGCACATCACTGGCTTCAGCTCCCATGTGATGACGTTACAATTTAGCACAAATACCATTTATCGGCATTTTAGCAGGATCGCTGCACTCTCAGGGGTCAAGCAATTGCTGTTTGGCTCCTATCCCACAGCTGCAGAGTGGCTGCTGTTGGGTTTCTTACTGTTTCCTGAGACGGGGAACCACAGCCACGCTCCCAAAGGTAGCGGGCCGGTGAGGTGGGTGCCTGCGGGTGGAGCATGGTGGCCTGGAGCCCTGAGCCTCCCAGGGCTGGCAGATCCGAAGGAGTCAGGCAGCACTTCTGGCCTCAGGTCCTCCCGGACAGTGACACCAAGGGTAAAAGCCCTGGCCACCTTCCTCAGTCCTGGGCAAGGTGCAGACCCTGGAGGCCAGCGGGCCGCAGGTGCGCCCTGCCAGTACTGCCCCGCTTCTCAGCTAGCAGGAGGCTGGCGGGGCCCCTGGGGCCTGTTCTCTCTCAACCAAAGTCAGTCGCCAGTGCTTCTCCCAGAAGTGCTCCCACCGCCTGCCCCAGGGCATCCTCCCCTCCCCTGCAAGCCCCCCTGCCATGTCCTCTGGGGCTGCAGTGGGTGAGCACGGTCTCCTGACCACCACACGCACCATCCTGAGAGACACTGGTTACCCTAGAAGTACACTGGCGCTCGGCTGAGCTCTTTCTCTCCAAGCCTGGGTCCTTTCCCGTCCATCAGTTTGACACCTGCTCCTCTCCGCCATTGGCTGGACATTAGCTGATGGGACCCCAGGGAGGGCAGCACAGGCGAGGACAGCTGGGCCTCCTGGTGCCTGGGCTGTGGTGGGCCAGAGGCACAGTGCACAGCCAGAGTCTGGGCCAGCACAGCAGTGACTGGGCCCCACCCCGGTGCTCATGGGAACTGCTATTCACAGAAAGTTGGCGCCAGCATTGCCTCTGGCCCTGGTACACCTTTGATTCTGACTTTCTTCAAGGAGAGCCCATGGTGGGTCAGGATGTGGGCCTGAGGAGACCCTGTGTGTTGCCCACGAGACCCTGGTAGGTAGGCCCTTGCCCTCACATCATCAGGGCTGGAAGTGTCTGTCAGGGCTGCTCTATGGGCTCTGACCCCTTGCCTTCTCTGTCTGTCTCAGGGTCCGGGCCTGGGGTCAGGAGCTTTGAGATGGAGTGGGAGGAGTCTGCACCCCTTCACCCCCACTCAGTCTGGGCACTGTGCCAGGAAGGCCCTCGGCCATCTGTCCTCTCTGCCACCCGGGAGCAAAGATGAGCACAGTGCTGTGACCACGCAATGGAGGCAGAGCATCCGGGCCCTGGACTCGGGAGGCATTGACTCTAGAGCTGCCAGAGCCCCTGGAAGATACAGAAGCAGCTGTCTACCACTGTCCGGGGCCTGAGCACGTGGTTCTCAGGGAAACTGGCTGGATGGCCGGCTGGCAGGTCTGGCTGCTCAGGGTCCTGGCCTGTCACCTTCCAGGCAGCCAGCTTCTGGGGTGCATGGTGTCGTAACAGGAGACTGCACCCCCTCTAGTCCAGGACCTGCCCTGCAGTGTAGCTGGCCAAGGTCATTGGGTCATGTGATCCAAGACAGGTGGGAAGACACACCCAGGACCCCTCCCTCACCTGCCACCAGGTCTCCTCCCTCACCTGCCTCTTGTTTCCTGCAGAGCTCATCCTCTCACTTCTGGAGAAGATGCAGACACAGGAGATTCTGAGGATGCTGCGGCTGCCCGAGCTGGGTGACTTGGGACAGTTTTTCCGCAGTCTTTCAGCCACCACCCTCATGAGTGTGGGTGCGCTGACGGCCATCCTCGCCTACTGGTTCACTCACCGGCCAAAGGCCTTGCAGCCGCCGTGCAACCTCCTGATGCAGTCAGAGGAAGTGGAGGTGAGCAGGGGTCCAGCCATCAAGCTATGGAAAGTAGTGCGCAGAGGACAGTCATCGCAAATGTGGAAGCAGAATTCTGGCTTCTTTGACCTGAGATGGCTGAGAGAGCCCTGGTTTGCCCTGGAAGCCAGCCAGCAAGCCCTATTGGCCTTGGGTAGTGTCTTCTACCAGAGACTCCTTTGCCTCTCTCAGCAGCTGAGCCCTGAGCAGAGCCTGACCTTGGCCTTGACCTGGGCTTCTAGTATGCCTGCTTCTTGGGTGGGGGCATTAGCTCATTGGTGCCTCAGTAGGAGGCCTGAGCAGGTTCTCTAGTGGCTGCCAGGTAATTTCCTTCCAGACTCACCCTGGGCCCAGCCCTAGTCTGCTGCTGGGACCCAGAGCTGAGCCGACCCCAGTGCCTGCATCCCATCCCCCAGGGGGAAGAAGGTGGTGTGGCCCAGGCAAGGGTGTCCTGCGCAAAGTCTAGAAGGACTAGTGATACTTACTTTTCTGTTAAGCTCATGGAATTTATTTTGCCATTTAAAAACTGCCTTTATTTTAGCTTAAATTCTATTCATTGTGAATAGATAAGATATTCGCTCAGTTCAAGAGGAACAAAAGGACACGAACTGAGAAGCTTCCACTGTCTCCCTGTAGCCTCCTAGTTCTGCTCCCCCAAGAACTGCTGACAACTGTCCATGAGCGAATGTGTAGATATCCACCCCCCTTTTTAATGATACCAGGCTGCGTATACTGTGCAGCAACCCCACTTTCTGCTCTCAGTGGTGCATCTTGCTGAGCACAGATGCGGCAGAGTTTGGCCTGGCAGGAGGGGGTGCAAGTGGAGATAGGGCTGGTCCCTCTGGGCATTTTTCCCGCAGAAGGAATGATGTGTGCCAGTACAGGTGTGTGGCGAAGCACCTGGTGGCCTTGGGAGGTGGTGGTGTGTGTGGGTGGTGGAGAGGGGCTGCAGACGGGCTAGTGCAGCAGTGACGAAAACAGCTGTGGTGACCTGGGGCTCAGGCCGGCAGTGCCTCTCACAGGCCACATGGTCCTTGGCAGTTTCTCTCTCTCGGAGCTTCAGTTTCCTCCGCAGTCAAGTGAGAGCAGGAGCGCTGCTGCCTGGGGCGGTGGAAGGGTCTGCCGAGGTGGTACAGAGAAAGCACTGAAACTAGTCGTTTGGGGTAAGCTTATCGTGACCGCTCACTTAGAGAACTTAGAGAGCCAGAGTCAAGGGGCAGGCAGTGTGGATGTATGTGGGGTCCTCAGCAGCAGGGGCCGAGCCAGGTTGGCTGTGGAAGGGTGGCCGTGGCGGGCTGGGGTGAGGGGAGATCTGGAGTGCCTGGGCTGGAGGCGACAGGTCTGATCAAGGTCTAAGTGGGAGGGGCCTCGGGTCAGTGTGGGGGGCCACAGAGTTGCCTCGTGGGCTGGCTGGGAGGACCTCCCTTCCCAGGAAGACTGAGCCCTGCCTCTCACCCAGGGCACAGGCAGCCAGAGCGGCTGCAGTGGAGCAGGCAGAGGAGAGGGGAGGGATTGAGAGGAGGGGGCCCAGGCCCTCTGGGGCCTGGTGACATCCACTATGTGCGACAGAGTGAGAAATGTGATTCGGATCACGCCACATGCCCGCTCTCAGCCTAGAGGCCATGCTCCTGGCCTGCACCCACAGTCTCTCCGGCCACCTCTGTTTACCACCTGGAGCTCCACACGTGGCCCACAGTTTCCTGAGTGTACCTGTGTCTCTTGCCCATGCACTTGCACTTGCTCTGGCGAGACCTGTTTCCTGCTCCTCCTGCTGCCTCCTGTGTACTCTTCAAAACCCAGCTTGGCAGCCACTCCCTGACACACACATCACTTGAGCTCCTTTGCCACTGGCATGCAGTCTCTTGCTGTCATTTCTGTCACCCTGAGTTCTATCCAGGTCTGACAGTGTGTGCCCCCAGCTTCCCTCATTGGCGGTACCTGGGTCTGGCACTCAGGAGGCACTCCCTGGCCAAACGGAACTTTCCATAAACAGTTGGAAGCCGCCTGTGGTTTTGAGTCTGGCTGTCTGTCTGATGGTTCTCACCAGCATTTTTCCTTAGCTGGATGTTTCAAGAGATGTCAGCCACAGGCCAGCCCAGTGCAGCCCCGAATTGTGCTCAGGGGAAAGGTGGGGCTGTGGTACAGGAGTGTCAGGGCTTGGGGCAGCCTGAGCAGGGGTGGCATGATGGCAGCGGAGGAGGCACGAGAGGCCCAGCTCCACTCCCTGCTTCACGGCATAGGGGGCATTCGCTGCCATCCCATGCTGGGTCCATACCACTGAGGGCCCGGGAACTCACTGCCACAGCCTTCTAGGCCTCTCTGTTCCTGGGAAAGTACCTCCAGCTAGTCCTCAGACTAATTCTAGCTATCATGTGAATGATGGCTGGCACCCAAATGATTCTTAACCTAGGGTCATAGGAGCAGCAGGTGATGGCATGAGGGGGGCACCTTGGCAGGTTGGTCATGAAGCTGGGGCAGCCTAACTCCAGCCCACTCTCTCCACTCCATTGTACGAGTGGGCTGCAGGTGATATGAACAGCCAGTGAAATCCTGGACATCTGAGTGTGCTGCCGTGGTGTGTGGGGGCTGCGGGGGGGGGGGGGGGGGGGCTGTGGGTGACGGGGCCAGTGTGGAAGGGGCGGTGAGGAAGGGCCAGTGCCCAGGGCCTGTGTGCATGAGCCAGCCGTGTGTGTGGTTGTGGTAGATGCACACAGGCCGGGTATATACAAGGCACATGTGTGTGAACCTGAGTACAGGTTGTGTGTATACAGGTCGTATGTGGGGTTGCACAGAGCATGTCCCAGTCCCATTGTGGTGTGTACCCCAGCTGTGCACAGCCCGGTGTGTGCTCGTGCCCCCTCAGGATGCCCCTGCCCACCTCAGCCAGCTTCCTGGCCTGTGCTTTTGGCTCATAGGACAGCGGTGGGGCCCGGCGGTCTGTGATTGGGGATGGCCCTCAGCTGTTCACCCACTACTACGATGATGCCAGAACCATGTACCAGGTGTTCCGCCGTGGGCTCAGCATCTCAGGTGAGAGGGACTGTGGCGGTGTGGAGGGGCTGTGGCAGGGGTTGAGCATATTCGAGGGTAGGGGTGAGCCAGCATGGTACCAGGGGCGTGGCAGGGGAATGGTGCCAGGTTCAAAGGAGAGAAGACACTCTTGGCCCTCTTCCCACCCCATCAGAGTAGCTGCATTGTGTGGCCAAAGGGCTGGCCTCAGCTTTGTTCCAGCCCTGGGACGAACTACCTTAACCATTTCTCAGCCCGCACACTGTATCTTCCATTGGCAGGCCCCTGGCTGGCATGGTTCTGAACCCTGAGCCCCTCAGGTGTCTGGGTGACCTGGGGTATGAGGCAAGGCGGGTGGGTGCAGAAGAGCAGCCGCTCTCTCTGCCCAGTGGCCCTGGTCTCTATGCTCTTGGGGCTGCATCACGAGGTCATAGTGGGGACCAGCACTGTGTCAGCCCCCGTTCCTGAACCCCCCTGACCTCTGGGCCAATGCTGTACTTGTGTGCTTGAGGCCTTCTGGGGCTTCCGCAGGTCAGACAGGCAGCTGGGGGTGGGGCAGTGCACATGGCCCATGGGCCACCCCACAATAGGTGGTGTCCATCCAGGTGTCTGCGGCACCCCTGCCTGCCCTCCTCCCTTGCCCAAGGCCTGCTTCTCTCTCTGCAGGGAACGGACCGTGTCTCGGCTTTAGGAAGCCCAAGCAGCCTTATCAGTGGCTGTCCTACCAGGAGGTGAGTGACAGAGGACAGGCTCCACTCTGTCTGCCCTTGCAGGCCTGGCCCTTGGGGGGGTACCCTGCTGGGCCCCAGGGGGTCACACTGGCCTTGTCTGGCCTGCCACACCGCTGGCAGCAGCCTCACAGGGATGCCAGACACTGGGCGGGGAGTCAGGGAGGTCTCAGACCTGTGGGAGTCCCCCCGAGGCCCCCTCCCCTGCGGAAGACTCCTTGCTTCCCCATCACTTCCCCACGTACACGTGCAGGTGGCCGACAGGGCTGAATTTCTAGGGTCCGGACTTCTCCAGCACAACTGTAGAGCAAGTACGGACCAGTTTATTGGCGTTTTTGCACAAAATCGACCGGAGGTGAGCATCTGCCTTGATTGGTTTTAGAAGAATCAGTGGAGTGGGGGTTGGGTGCTACAGAGCAGCCCTGCTCCCACTGGGCTCTGGACGAGCAGACAAATGGAAAAACCCTTAGTTTGTGCCACATCCTCCTGCCCCCTAACCCCTCATCAGGAGTGGACATCCCAGCCCAGCTCCCTCCACACCCCACCCAGCCCAACACACAGCTGCTCCCTGAACCAGGGGAGAGAAGGACCTAGGGAAGAAGCCCGAGCCGGCCCTGGAAGTTGGCATGGGGCTGTTTGAGGCCCCAGAATTCCCTGGGGCCAGCACGGTCTATGGGGCCAGGCGTGCGCAGCCACACGTAGAGCCCTGTCATCACAGGACCTCAAGCAAGGACTCCAGTGGCCTGGACCGCGGGGCAGTGTAGCCCTCCCATCTGCTCTGTGTTGCCCCACCCCCACCCCGTGTGTCTCCACAGTGGATCATCGCGGAGCTTGCCTGCTACACGTATTCTATGGTGGTGGTCCCACTCTATGACACCCTGGGCCCTGGGGCTATCCGCTACATCATCAACACAGGTGAGCCCACCCGGCCCCTCCCTGCTGCTGGCAGCCAGCCTCCGCCGCAGCCTCTCAGGCTGTGCCAGTCGTCCGACGCTGCTCACACTGTGCTTCCGCTCTCAGGGAACACTAGGGGCTTCCGTAATGGCCCCCGCATTGGTTTCCTGGGTCCAGCTGTCTCCAGTTAAACTTCGCCACAGGGCCTGACCACTAGGGAGGAGCCTCTGTACCTCCCCTGTGGGTCACTGCGGCTTGGGGTGGATGCTGGCAGCAGCGGCTGTCCCAGCTGACCAGGGACGATAGGGGTTGAGCCCGCAGCACAGGGTGCTTGCGAACCTCTCCAGGAGATGCCGGGGCCTTCTGCCCTGGCTCCCTCCAGCCTCCACGCACTCTGCTCCACATGCAGCACAAAACCCAGACTGCCCGTCTTACCTGTCACTTCTACACCGGCTGTGGCACACACAGCCCATGGTTCCACTGCCCGGCATGTGCTGCTTACAGTCACTGCCTGACCCTCTCTGATGGTTCCTGCAGCTGACATCAGCATCGTGATCGTGGACAAACCTCAGAAGGCCCAGTTTCTGCTGGAGCAGGTGGAGAAGAAGGAGACTCCAGGACTCAAGCTGATCATCCTCATGGAGCCGTTCGAGGAGGCTCTGAAAGATAGAGGGCAGGAGTGCGGGGTGGTCCTCAAGTCCATGCAGGCTGTGGAGGTGAGGAGCTGCTTCCACCTGGGCTGTTTGCCGGGCCACAGCTGGCTGGCCACCACAAAGGAGCTGTTGGTTATCTGCCCCTCTCGTGCCCTCTGGCCGGTGTGGTGGGCTGTCGGACCATGGGAGGGTTGAGAAAGAGCAGGCTTCACAGAGCTGGAGGCAGGTGACAGGGTCAGCTGGCCAGCACAGTTAATGACATAGGCACTGACAGGTGCGCGGTGGCATCGGCCAGCCCCAGAGCTGCTCTTACAGCCGCTGCATTCCCAGCTGCAGCAGCCTATCTGGGCCTGAGGAGGTAGACACAAGGTCCGGGCATCACAGAGTCATTCTTGCAAATGTGTCCCAGACCCCCAGCAGCCAGCAGAGCCGATTTTTCTGTGCCTGGCTTCTCCAAAGATGTCAGATTGGTGGCAGGTGGTGACCTGCTAGAGTAACACAGGACATCCTGGCCTCCAGGGCCTTAGGTCCTGCTCAGTAGCAACTGACCCCAATTCTGCCTCATGAGATCCAGGCCCCTGGGCCCTCCAATCCCCCTCCTGCTTCCTGGTCTGCTCCCAACTGTACCTACAACACTGTACACTTGCACCCCTCCACGGCTTTCGGGGCACACCTGTGCCAGCACCCCCATCTGCCCCTCCAGCCCTGACTAACCTAGTGGCCCAGGCCGCCCAGCCACACTGCCCGAGCAGGCAATGCAGATACACAGTGGGCACCTCGGGCCACCTCCCCCTGTGCGTGTGCACAGTCTCTCCCTGGCCTCAGGCCCCATCTGCAATGAGGGCGGTGACTTTGGCCTGGAAGTGTGTCTGAGGAGAGGCCTCTGAGGTGGCGTTTCCACCTGGGCCATGTCTAGGCAGTGAATCCTAAACTCTGGGCTTGGCGCAAGGGCAAGGCCTACTGTGCAGAGCTTATTTTGATTTTTTTTTTGATTGATGAGAACTTTTGAGCACTTAAAATCAGTGTTTTCCTCTTCTAGGACTGTGGCCAGCGGAATCACCACGTTCCTGTGGTAAGGTCGCCCTCCAGCAGGTCTCTGTTGACCAGGGCGATGCGAGGGCACGTCCTCGTGGAGACCTCACTGTGCGCAGGCACTCAGAGGAGGCAGCAGAGCAGCACCCCGCGTTAATGAGCAACCCTGGAAATGCCCCTGTGGGGTGCCCGGGACTGCTGTGGGTGGGGGTCCCGAGAGGGACCTGGAACAGGGGTCAGATGTTTGGGAGGGGGAAGAGAGGGCTGCTGATTTTCTCTGTTGGGGAGTCTTTCTTCTCCCCTTTGAATGCAATGAAACCCCCAGAGGGTGGGATGGACGGAAGCAGCAGCAGCGCCAGTGTGTAGTGGACCCTGGGCCTCGAGGCCTGGGGGCATCTGTCCTCTTTGTCCATCTTTTCTGTGTGTCACCCCCAGGGACACTGACTAGGGTTGAGTCACCGGTGAAGCTCGCTCCTCCCCGGGAGGGGACCCTCAGAGGCTTTGGTTTCCCAACAAGGCCTCTGGCTTCCAGGCCTCCCTCCAACTTAGCCCCCCCTGCTGCCCTCACCACCCCCGTGAGCTTTCTCATCCACAGACCTGAGCGGGTCCCAGCGCTATTTCCCAGGGCCCCTCATGGGGGCCCTGGGGGGTACCCACCTTGCACATACCATGCCCGAGCCCTAGAGACATGCTGTCTAACACCCCCCATGCCCTGGCCTCTAGCACCTCAGCCTATGTCCAGAGTAGACCCTCACTCACCCTCATTTTATCTGGAGAGAGCCTGTTTGTCCTTCAGTCTCAGATCAGGCCTCCTCCTCCAGGAAGCCAGGTTTCCTGTGCCAGCAGCGGTGGTGGGCTCTTCTTGGTCACCCCGGGACTCTGTGGCCAGTGGCAGGGCAGTCTTGGTGACACAGCGGGCAGCTCAGTGCTCTGGGCTCTGTGTGCTGTTCCTGAGCTTAACTAGCCTGGGGAGAATGAGGGAAGGAAGGAGGGAAGGGGGTCCCATTAGCTGCAGGGGTCAGGCCTCGATGTGGCCACTGCAGCCCCATCCCACCTGGAGCTTAGCTCAGACTCGGCGGAGAGTGGGGGTGGAGGGCCAGGTGTGGGGTTGATGGTGCAGAGTGACGTCCGTGCTCTCATTAGGGTTCCACAGCTTCTTTCCTCCTGCCCTGGGGCTTGCCTTTCTGCCTTCGTGGCTGCAGCCCACAGGCACACACATGTGCCAACACAGACAGCACACACAGCGGGTGCACAGCAGGGCTGGCTGGCAGAGGGGCCCATGGGTCTTACGCCCTGGTTGGCCACACCAGGTCTCTTTAATACACGCCTCTTCTCACCTCTACAGCCCCCAAAGCCCAGCGACCTCTCCATTGTGTGTTTCACAAGCGGCACAACAGGTAAGTACCGGCACCCAGGTCACCAGCCTGGCCCACCTGTGCCCTTCCTTGGAAACCTGGTCAGGGTGACTGCAGGGGTCTCTGGTGCCTTCTGAGATGGGCTGAGCCTTGTCCTGTGCCTGGCTCCAGGTGTTGGGTCCCTGTTGCTCCCCCCAGTGCCCAGCACAGGGCAGCACAGGGGGGCCAGACACAGATGGACAGGTGTGAGCTGGGAGGTCCAGGGTGGGGACTCGCCACTTTCTGGAGCTGGAGCCAGAGGAGGGCTGGGCCGCCAGGTCATGCCATTCCTCTGTGAGGAGTAGCTCCCACGCCCCCGCTTCCTGCCCCTGCCTGGTCTTTGTGTCACGGACTACGGAAGGAGTGTGGGGGAGTGGCATCTGAGAGCCACTTCCTGGGGGGCTGCAAGCCAGTAACAACCCTTCTGCCACCACTCTCCCCGATTTCTCATCTGTGATGAGAACGGCTAGAGGTGCCCAGTAGAAGACGGGAAGGGTGTGAAGGGGCAGGGCAGGCACTCTGCAGGCTGGGGCTGGTGTGCCTGGGCAAGGCTGTCTGGAAGGGGGCAAGCAGAGATGACGCACTGCCTGCCCAGCGCTGACAGGGGCACACGTATGGGCCTCAGTGGAGACAGCCAGGGGAACGGCACATTCCTCGGGGAGGCCGAGTGCGCACAGGAGGACTGTGGCCACAGGCACAGCACCTCGCTGCCTGCGGTGCCCCATTCCCGCCTTCCCGCGCCCCTAGGGCTTCAGCAGGGCCTGTTTGGTGAGTGATGTGGGAACTGTCCCAGCGGACACCACCAGCAAATGGAGGCATTGGACCCCTGCCCTGCCAGCTCCCAGCCCAGGGCTCTTCCCATTGCTGCCTGTCCCTCTCATCTGACGACTTGGGAAGTCACCTGCCCTGCCCTGATTGGGCGAGAAGTTTCCGGCCACCTTTCTCCAGGGTGGAGACTGGCCCACCTCAATGATAGCGCTCGGTGGGCAGTGACTGCCCCCCGCCCAGCCTTCTATAGACACAGCCTCGAGGGCGTCTGGCAGGCCTTTGACCAGCCCCACAGGCGGGACTGTCCATGCGGGTAGATTGTGACCACTTGGCTTTATGGAACGAGATGAGTATTTGCCATTAACTCAAGGGGGTTTGAGAATTTCCAGCACGTTGCTAAATCTGCTAGAGAAAAACTAACACAGCCTTCACTCTCCAGGGGCTGGCATCCAGAGCCAACCCAGAATTCAAAGACGCCCTTCTGGTTGGTGTCTCTTTGGGTCACGAATTTCACAATGCGAAATTGTGGTGACACGTCCCTCTGCCCAGGGCTGGAGAGCAGGTCACTGCAGTGGCTTTTAGCTTTGGGCCCTTGCCATCCAAGAGTGCCCTCAGGCTTTTAACAGGTCCCTTGGTCACAGGTGGTGCCCCCACATCTGGGCAGAACTCACGAGGCATAAATGTGCTCTTGCCCAACTGGACAGGGCAGGCCGCACATGGGCGCCTTTCTGGATGCTGAGCCATCCTGCCCAGGCTGCGTCTGCGACTTGGTGGGTGGCATGTGGGAGCGAGGTACGCGGGGCCCGAAAGCAGGTGGCGGGCAGTGCCAAGCCTCCCCCTGCAGAGGCGTGGCTGGTGCCAGGGCAGAGCTGGGCAGTGAGCAGGCCTCTGGCTGATGTCAGCGTGCCTGGAGGCGCGCTTGCATTTCCTTGGCATCAGTCTCAGCCTGTGCTGCGCCTCTGGTCGTCACCGTCCCATTGAGCACATGAGCCGTGCGTGTCCTTGGCATCAGAGCCCCGGACATAGTTTCCCTTCCACACCGTGTCCCAGCTCCCAACTTCGTCGAGAGCCACGTGGTTCTTCCTGTGGGGAAAGCTGGAAAAGATGGTCTGAGCCTGACACATAGCTCGTGGTTCTGGTGGTAGAGTCATTCTGGGAAGATTCTCTCCTTGGTTGTGATGGCTTTTGTTTCAGAATTACAAGTGTCAGTCTGAAGCCTGAGTCAGTCTGCCTCATGGACCTCTGCCCTCCCAGCCAGGCTGGCTGCAGGCATGCGTGGTGGGCAAGGCGTGGTCCACCCTTCCCCTCTGGGCTTTCTTTCTTTTTCATATCCTCACCGAGGATATATATTTGTTGATTCGAGAGAGAGAGAGAGGAGAAACCAACTGAGAGAGAAACATTAATCAGTTGCCTCCCAGGATCGAACCCGGAACCTAGGTATGTCCCCAGACTAGAAATCGAACCAGCAACTTTTTGTCACGTGGGACAATGCTCCAACCAACTGAGCCACCCTGCCAGGGCCTCTGTGGTGTTTCTCCTCCTCCTAGCTCGCTGGAGATGACTTCTAACCTCTCCCACCCTCTCCCACCAGGTGGACGTGGGGAGGGAGAATGAGTAAGTGATAAAGGGATGCTGGGAGCTGGTTTGGGACAGACGGTTAAAACTCACTCTTTGTTCTCTGGACGCTTGCTGACTCAGTGCAGTACTCTTCACCCAGTTCATTCAGCCCTTTGATTACCATTTTCTGGGTGAGGGCTGCAAAGTCACCTTATAGGTTTACTTGATATTTGGGGGAAAATTCTGCACATAGCCTGGCCCATCTCTTTTGGAGTTTTATAGCTATTGTATCTGCTGAGTTGGTGGAAACTTCTAATTTAACATCTTTTGTGCATGGATTATGTCCTTAGAGCATATAGAAGCGCTATGAGGTGGGTCCACTGTCCCCATTTTGCAGGTAAGGAAAGTGAGGGGAACAGCTCTGGGCAGTGAGAGCCAAGGCTTGGATTCGAGCCCAGTCACACTGGCCGGCAGCATACTAGGGCTGTTGCAGGCTCCCACCAGCCCTCCGGCCCTCTGAGCCACCCTGGAAGCCCTGGGCATCCTCACAAGCAGTAGTGACAGATCATGTCATGACAACGCAGGACCATCCATGTCCCATCCCTGCGAAGAACAGGTGGGAGGGCCTTCTTCAGCCTGCGGACCTCTGGCCTGGCCTGAGCTGGGCCTTCCTGGGTTGCAGATGCAGCAAGGAAGTCTCCTGCCAGCAGAGTTAGCTGCTGGTTCCTGGGGGCTAGGGCAACACAGGGCCCTGGGTGTCTGTGAGGTGGCCTGAAGGAGGCAGGGCAGGGAGAGGCCGAGAGTCACCAGTCCCTTGAGGTGCCCCACCTGTGCAGCTGTGTCCCTTGCCTTCTGGTCCTAAGCTGCTGGGAGCCTCCAGATGGGCTTCAGGCATCTGCAGGTTAAAGGTTCCTGAAGCAGCCCTCGTCTGTCTTGGACTCTGAGGGTGGCTGTGGATGAAGGCCAGAGGCTGGGGTGGACAGCGCTGGTGCCCGGGACTGCCGGCTTGGCTGCTGCTCTCAAGGAGTGCGGCCCTTGAGCTTCCAACCAATTCGCCTTCTTGCTTTCTCTTTCAGGGAACCCAAAGGGCGCAATGCTGACCCATGGGAACGTGGTGGCCGACTTCTCGGGCTTTCTGAAAGTGACAGAGGTGAATAAAGTAGACTCACTAATGCAGGTGCCTCTTGAGGACGCCCTCAAACCTCAGAGGTTTTTTTGTTTGTTTGTTTGTTTTTTTCCCCCTGATATTATCTGGGCTGCCTTTCACAGGCAGGAGTTCCTGTTCTTGTTAGAGCGGCCCTCCATTAACTTTCACAGAGGCTTTTAATCCCAAACACCGAAGTGGTCTTCACCCGATAAACATTCAGTTGAGTTCTGAGAGTGGTCAGAAGTCGCAGAAGGGAAAAACACAGAAATCTGTTTTTGCATTTTGAACTTCAGAAACTGGTACACCTGTGGTTTGTGTACGCCTTAGAAGAGAGCCTTTAATAGCTGTTTTTCAAGCAGGTCAGGGTTTAATTCAGTCATTTCGTACTGAAGGACTACTAGGGTCTCAGAAGTTATGGCAACCGCTGAAATGTAACACTGTGCTTATTAAAAAGGTAAATGTAAAAGTGAGAAGGCCGGACAAAAACACATTAGCATTTTATAACTGACTTAGAAGGGACCTTTTTCCCACACGTGGTGAGTATGTGAATGTCCTAGTTTCCTTTAGGGGCAAGAAATGTGCCTTTTCACAGAAGTGAGGCCTTTTCACCCTGTGGAGAGAGACCCCCCTCGGCACGTGGCCCTGTGGAGCGTATCCCTGAACATTCCATGTTTCGGTAGAGCCCCAGTCAGGAGCCCCGAGCCGGCTTTCCCAGATCTTGTCCAGACTTGTCCAAAAGTCAGCCTGTCAAAAGGACAGGGAACAAGGAAGTCCAGCAAAGGAAAGCTCCCGAAGGCATGGCCCAGCCCGATCACTGAGCTCGGTCCATCTGTGAGACGTGGGCCTGGGGACACAGTGGCCCTCCGTCCCAGCCTTCCCCGCGAGGCCCTGGCTAGTGAGAAGCCTGGCGCAGCCATCTGCGGCTTGGCCGTGCCCGCTCCCTGGTCCAGGGCAGGCACCCCAGCCACAGCTGGTGTAGGTCTAGGGTTTTCTGGGCCCCTTTCTCTGGAAGGACTAGGAAGTGCTGACAAGACGAGACCAGACCTGTGCAGCGCTGCCCAGGCGGCCCAGGCAGACTGGTGAGGCGGGGCCTGGGCGGGTCTTGCAGCCGGAGGGAGACAGGGGCAGAGGCTGTCCGGCGCCGCCCGACCCCGAGTGAGGTGCAGGCCCTTCCCCAGAGGAGACTTCGCTGCGGAGCCGCGCTCTGCCGGTTTATGTGTGCTTCATTCAGCCTTTTGCTTCTGCAGATAACCAGGCCCTCTGGCGCTGCGACCTAACACTCCGCTTGCACGCTGCCCTCTCTCCCTCTCCCTCTCCATCGCTCTCTCTCTTTCCGTCTTTCCCTCTGTTTTTTGCTTCGCCTTTTCTCTCTCTCGCTCTCAGTTTTTCCTCTCCTCCCACCTCTTTCTCTGTGCCCCCTCCCCTCCCCTCTTCCTGTTCGCCTCTCCGGGACCATTTTCTCTTTATTGTTTTACGACTCTCTTGTTGTCTTCCTGTCAGTGTTTCTTTCCTTTCTGTCTCCCATGCCCGTCACCTGCAGAAAGTGATCTTTCCGAGACAGGACGATGTGCTCATCTCCTTCCTGCCTCTGGCTCACATGTTTGAGAGAGTGATCCAGGTAAGACGCCCACCTGCCTGACCGGGCCTTGCCTGGGCTCCTTCTCTTTTCTTGCAGAGTCAGTGGGCTCCCACTTGTGCGGATGTGCACATTTCCTATTTGCCTTTAGCACACATGTTTGAGCGAATGGTGCAGGTAAGGCCCTGGCGTCAGGGAGGCACGGTCTGTGCCCAGAACCCAGAACCCTAGCAGGGTGTCACTTGTCACTGGTGCCAGGAAGTAGAACTAAACCGCCCTGTCCTCAGAAGGTACCACAGGGGTTGGAGGGGTCAGAGGACCTTGGCCAACCCACCTGTCCCTCCGGGGAGCGTGGCTCCAGCAGACACCCCAGGCCGGCCCTGCCTTACTTTCCTGTGGACACACCTGGGCTGAGAGGCCCAGCTGGTGGCACAGAGAGCTTTGAGGAGGCGCTTTGCTGTCCAAACTCTGTGCAGCGTGACTCTGTTTATGGCCAGAACACTTGCATTCTATAATTTCCATTGCTCATGAACCTCTCACAAAGAAAACAAGACAGTGAATTTGCGCAGTGAACCATTGGGACCCCTAAGGCTGCAGATGAACTGGTGCTGCGACTGGCCCTGAGACTGGCCTTGGGGGGTGCAGAGGGAGTGGGGGGCCCACACGGTATTGTGGTAACAAAGAATTTTCCATCCATGTGTCACTCAAGGGGCCAGCCTACGAGTAAACTGTCTTCTAAGCCTCTCCCCTCTCGCCTTGGGGGACATGTGTCGTATTGGGTCACACTGTCCAGTGTTCCAGACCTAGATTAGAATGCCAGCAGCACTGTGAACTAGTTTCATGACTGGGCAAATCCCTTTACCTGTCTGAGCTTTGCGTTCCTCACCCATAAAAGGAGCCATGAAATGCTGTCTTCCACATGGGGCGGCTATGAGTGTTGAAGACAGGAGCGTGCATTAGGCCCCTGGTACACTGCTGGCCCATTAGCAACCACCAGGCCCCCCCCACGGCCTCCCTTTCACCATTAACAGCCTCTCCTGTCCTCGTGGGCACCGCACACCCTTCCAGAGTTGCTGAGGTGTCCTCGGGGAATCTGCGGGCTCCCTGAGACCTGCAGCAGACACATTCGTAGGGTTTGGTGCAGCTCAGAGACTGGAGTCCCCAGGGGGGCTCCTGCCCAGGGTTTGGGAGTGAGCAGGAGGGCAGCACAGGGGGACTAGATGCTCTGGTGTCTCCCGAAGGCTGTGTTCCAACTGGCTCCTGCTTCTCCTCCACGTGCCTGAGCAGGAACTCAGTGAGGGGGGGGCTGTCACCTCAGATGGTGTTGAGTGTCTCATGGCAGCAGCCAGACCTGGGGTGGGGGTCATGGGCGCCCTCCACGTAGGGCAGAACTGTGGACGGCTCTGGACCACAGCCAGGAGTGACCGTCCTCCGAGCCTCCTCCCTTCCTGTCCTCCCCTCCAGTCTGTCGTCTACTGCCACGGAGGGCGAGTCGGCTTCTTCCAGGGAGACATCCGTCTCCTTTCAGATGACATGAAGGCTCTGTGCCCCACCATCTTCCCGGTGGTCCCACGGCTGCTGAACCGGATGTATGACAAGGTGAGCCCTGCGGGGAGTCCCTGGCCAGGCTGAGGGACTCAATATCTGCTTGCGTGGCCCCAGGCCTGGAGCCCCAGGTCCTATAAATGGCCTCTTTTCATACATCCCCTGATTCTCATCTGTTTTCTTCCTAGTTTTCAAAACCCTTATTGGGGAGATTTTTTCCAGGAATTTCTAGCCCCCCAATGTGCCTCCACCTCGGTGGTGTCCACCTTTGTCTGGGTGCCACGTGTTCACTGACCTCCCACGGCAGCACAGTGGAGCGCGGCTGGCTTTGGGCCAGTCCAGGCCTTCTTCCTGTCTGAAGGACGGACGTGCTGTCTCATAGCTCCTTCCACCTTCTGCTCCTCAGATCTTCAGCCAGGCGAACACGCCGTTGAAGCGCTGGCTTCTGGAGTTTGCAGCAAAGCGTAAACAGGCTGAGGTCCGGAGTGGAATCATCAGGAATGACAGTATCTGGGACGAGCTCTTCTTTCACAAGGTTCAGGTAAGAGGACAAACGAGAGGTTATAGAGCAACACTAAAGTATCCAATAGATGGCCTGACTAAGGAGTTAGGGAAGTTTATCCCGGTGGCTGCTATCTTGTAAAATAATAACTCATTTGGTCATGAAATCAAAGCTTTAGGCTTCCATTGAATTCTTAAAGCAGGGATGTCAAACTCATTTTCACTGGGGACCACATCAGCCTCATGGTTGCCTTTACAGGCCAAATGTAATTTTAGGACTGTATAAATGTCACTACTCCTTAACTAGAGACAAGGAACTCGGTGCTACCGCTGGGTAGAAACAAGGTGCCGGGCAGGATAAAACAAAGAGGATTCAGCCCATGGGCCTTGTGGTTGCCACCTGTGTCTTAGAGGACTCACTTTTGTTCTTTGGAGACGTGTTATACTTGCCAAAAGGCAACCGGCAAGGTCTCCTGGAAAATGAGTGCACTGCCTTCCATGGGTGTCAGAGCAGATGTGCCCGGGGTACTGGGCCCACCGGGGAGCTCCTGGGCTGGAGGGCTTCCGCGGCCCTCCTTGTAGCCCTGGCCACCGTGGCTTCCCAGCAGCACTGGGTTCCAGAAAGATGGCCAAGAGTCCTCCTTGGCCCTCCCGTGTCCCCTTCCTTCGGCTGCACCCCAGCCGGGCCGACCATGACCGCTCACCTCCGGAGCCCCACTGAAGCGTCCAAGCCCCGCGTTACCCCAGGTACATGGAGTTAATTAGTATCATTACTCATTTTTTCTTACTCCTCCATTTTCAGCTATGAAAATTAATATTTAATCTCTCTTGGCTCAGCCTACAGAAACAACATATTTAAGGAATTCTTTGTGTCTGCACTGCATAGTAAATAGAGCAGCCAGGGTATTGATTTGTAAAGGAAAAAAGCCTACGTCATTGGAGTGGAAGTGGGAAGGAGTCCTCCTAAGTAATTGTTTTGGATGCTTGCAGATGATTGGAGGGAGAGGGGACAGCTGTGTATCTGAAGGAAAGTAGAACTGAAACCGTAAAATACTGCATAGATTAACGTCACTTATCCCGAAAGACGTGAGAGAGTTGGCCACAGGGTGGCTTGAGGTGCGCAGCTGGCTGCGTTGGTTCCTTCGAAGGAGAAGGGACTTCCTCAGCCCACGTCGTGGGGCCTCAGGCCTTGTCTCTGAGCCCTACCCTAAGGTCCAGGTTGAGTCCCATTGCTGAATGTCGACCTTGGCTGAGGCCCAGGTGGTCTAGACGCCACCCGCAGCCACACAGAGCCTGGCAGGCGCCTCTCTCCCCACAGGCCAACCTCGGCGGGTGTGTGCGGATGATCGTGACTGGAGCGGCCCCCGCATCGCCGACAGTCCTGGGCTTCCTCCGGGCGGCTCTGGGGTGCCAGGTATCACCTTCCCTCAGCCTTCCCTGGGGGCAGTGGGGCATGTGCTAGGACAGGGCCAGAACCCTGCTGCACCTTTTACTGTGCAGAGAAAGGTTCTGGGGGCAAGATTCTAGTTGGGTAAAAGCTCAGTTCCTCTGAAGATGAGAAAACCCCAGTGCAGGTAAAAGCCAGGCTGGCCTGCCCACGTTCGGGAAAGCCCAGGTGCACCCCCCCACCCCAGGAAGAGAGATCTGACAGACGGCCCGAGGAACATCAATGTGCCGGAGAATCTGCACCATGCCCAGAATAGCACCTCTGCAGCTTCAGCCTGCAAAATTCTGTCCACCCCGGCAAGGGAGGACCCCAAGGGAGGGGGGGAGGGGGTGATTTGGGTTTTGTCGTTTGATTGAAAAAGTCCATTCCTACATTTACCCACTCGATTAGTATTTATTAAGTTTCTACATATGCAGGGCACAGTAACACAGCTGTGACTGGTGGATAGTAAGTAAAGTAGACACAGCTATTTCATCAATATCCACGCCTAAATTTTTATACCTTCAAAGCCACTGGCCTCTTCTACCCCAACACCACCTGGCCACTCCTAAGGGCAGACGCTCCCACGTGGCACATGCTTGCAAGCACATGAGGCTCTGGAGGGAAATATCTCACAGAGACAAAATCAACCACACAGTAGACTTTAATGTGTTTGTCTTTAATACACATGATCTGAATGAAAAATAGAGTCAGTAGTTGAAAATAGCTCAGAAAAACGTTATCCCAAACCACATAACCTTATCTACTAGATGTGGTAAAAGTAGCACTTCTTCCGAGCAAAGTAACCACCCCTGTTATCTGTGTTAGGCCACACCTGGAGTTACTTGCCTCCACAGCACCTCCCTTCCCACCGTGCCCAGCACGGAGCAGCCAGGCGTCAGGTGGGAGCTGAGCCGGCTGAGGGGGCAGCCAGCCCGCGGCAGGGCACGCATGCCTACAGCGTGGTTTCCATGTTTTGCTTGAAGGTTTATGAAGGTTATGGCCAAACTGAGTGCACAGCTGGATGTACGTTCACCACCCCTGGGGACTGGACCTCAGGTAGGATGGACAGGAGAGGTGGAATGGCTCTCCAGGCACTGCTGAGACAAACAGCTGCAGCACTTTCTCATGCAAAGTGCATTTTCAGCAGAAAAACAACAGAACAGAGCACACCGATGGCAGTCATACCTAGGCTGAGGCATTGTGGGTCTGTTGTTCTCTTCATTACATATTTTTGCATTTTCCTGCCTTTTTTGGCATGTTCCCATTTCTTCTATAGGTACATAGAAGTCATATTTTTAAAAAAGAAGTAATAGATCACAGTGTAGCTCCAGGTAGAAAATGATCACATCAGTAAATATCAGTTGTACTAGGTTTCTGAGCACCACGTAGGCTTGCTTATTGTCGCTTCAGAGTGAAGGAACCAGGCTATGAATTGGATGTTTTTAAGGAAAGGGGAGGCAACTTCCTAGTGGCCAGAGCACTATTTCATAAGGGGCCACTGCCGAGGCCCTTCGGGAACTACAGCATTTTATCACTTTAGTGTCTGTCACATTGGTGGCAGTGGCAGCCTCAGGAAGGGGCAGCTCCTAGCCACCCCCTTATTCTGAAGAGACTCATTTTTCGGGGCAAGGAGGAAGCAGCAGGTAGCCCCTGTGTGGTCCATCACAAGTTTAGACCAGATACTGGAAGAATCTGAAAACCACTCAGCAAAAGAATCCTTTAGGGGCTCCAACCTCCCCTGTGAACGCAGGGCCACTCTCACGATTCCAGTTTGCTCAGCTGCAGACTGGAACCCAGGAGAGCGGGTATGCACAAGAAATGTGCCCAGGAATGCAATCCTATCTGCAGGGCACCCTGGGTAGTCAGCAGAAACATGATGGGTGCATTCGAAATCAAAATCATATTTGTCCAAGTCAAGTAGAGAAGTATATTTTTCTCAGTTTTGTCTTTTTTATATAAACTTGTTTTTTTTAAAGATTTTATTTATTTACATTCAGAGAGGGGAAGGGAGGCAAAAATAGAGGGATAGAAACATCAGTGTGTGGGTTGCCTCTCATGCACCCCCACGCTGGGCACCTGGCCCACAACAACCCAGGCATGTGCCCTGACTGGGAATCGAACCAGTGACCCCTTCGTTCACAGGCCAGCATGCCATCCACTGAGCCACACCAGCCAGGGCTGAATTTTATCTTTTAAACTCTAGCAGAATAAAGCCTTTGGTGTGTACGTAAAGTCTTGGATCTTTGTACCACCGACAGGTGTACCACAAGGACTGTCTTCTGAGGCCCTGGCTCACTAACGTTCTTCTTGTAGCTGCCATCACATTTACCGACCTCTCTGGCGCACCCTCTTCCTTTCGGACACTTTCTTCTCTCTTACGCCATTCTGTTCATTTTCCTGTGTAAGACTTTTGAGGTTTTGCCTTTTTTATTCATTCTTAGCATAAAAACTTGCAGAGACTACTGACGATGGGAAGATAGGTATCTTTGTACAAATTGTGAAAGATGTTATAGCCTCTCATTTAAAACAGAAACCAAAGTGTCCCGCTAATTTTTTATCTCCTTTACTCTGTCGCTCCCTTTTCTTTCAGGACCTTGGCCAGCACCAGGTTAAAACTCCACCACCTTGTCAGTGAAATTCTGTAACAACCCCCCAAAGTGACAAGAAAAGGACTTCACTGTAATTTTGTGGTTGGAGTGTATGAGACCCAGAAAATTTGAAGCCCTGTTTTTCCAGGGCGAGTTACCTCATTCTGTTTTCCATTCTTTTCCATTCCTTTCCATTTCCTTTGTTACTCAACATGTGGTGTGTGGACTGGAAGTGTGAGCGTCATCCCCGGGTGCCTGTAAGCAATGCAGGAGCTCAGGGCTCATCCCAGACCCACTGAGTCAAAGTCTGAAGTTTAATAGAGCTCTAGATGACCACCGTGCACATACACCAACAGGCTGGTGACCGCAGCAAAAGCAACGATGGACCCCGAACCAAGGCATGCAATCTAGCATTGGGGAAAATCTTTTAATGCGGGCACAATTATTTAAAAAACACAACTTTATAAAAAAAAAAAAAGGTCCTGCCCTGACCTGCGTGGCTCAGTTGGTTGGACGTCGTGTGGTTTGGATGCTGGAAGGTTGCAGGTGCGGTGATTCCCAGTCAGGGTACAGGCCTAGGTTGCGAGCTCAGTCTCTGGTCAGGGCACCAATGAGAGGCAACTAATCGCTGTCTCTCACTCACATCACTGTTCTTCTCCCCTTCTTTCTCTTCCTTCTCCTCTCTCTAAAATAAATAAAATCTTTAAAAATAAAATTAAATTAAAAAGCATCACATGCTCCGGCCATCGTGGCTTAGTTGGTTGGAGTGTCATTCTATAAACTGAAAGGGTGTGGGTTCGACTCCCGGTCAGAGCACATGCCTAGGTTGCCGGTTTGCCCAGTGATAGTGTGTATGAAAGGCAGCCAGTCAATGTTTCTCTGCCACTTCGATGTTTCTTTCCCTCTCTCTCTCCCTCCCCCTCTCTCTAAAATCAATGAGCGTGTCCTCAGGTGAGATACACACAGATCCCAACCACCTGGTTGGTGTGGGAACGAGCCCCACACAGACCCTGTGCAGGCTGGTGCTAGGCCAGGGTGCCTATGTCACTCTTTAAGAACCACAACAAGGCCCGCAGAGGCTGGGCTCTCCACTCTCCAGAACTCCTTCTGTCCTCCACCCTGGCCTGTAACAAATGCCCGTTGAAAGCGGTGTTGCTTCTTATCTATAATCCCCAACGCGGGCCACGGGGGGCGCCGTGGAGCACCTTCGGTGCTGGAAGCGGCCTGCACCTGCCCCATGCCGTGCTGCTCCGCGTTCCAGGGCACGTAGGGGCGCCCCTGCCCTGCAACCACATCAAGCTCATCGACGTCGAGGAGCTGAACTACTGGGCCAGCAGAGGAGAGGGAGAGGTAAGCTTCAGCATTTAGCCTTTGTGTCTGTGGGTTCTACATGTGGTGAGGGAAAGAAAAAAAAAGAACTACTTTCCTTTTACCCTGTGTGAAGTCACCTTAAACTACTGATTAATTTGACTGGACTGAATTCAGTATTTCCTCTCCTATTTCTGAAACAAGGCTGGGACTGAGCTGGTCTAAATCAAGAACTGGAATTTCCAGACTTTAAGAAGAAATCCCATTCTTTCCCTCAGTGGCGTGGCCTGCTGCCGCGGCTCGGTCCCAGCAGCAACATGACCGTTTGCAGACAGGACGGATCAGGGAGGCGGGGCTGGCCCTTGCCCACTCACTCCCTGGGGGGGTGGCTCCCTGGTCAAGAGGCTGGGCCGGAGGCGTCTCTGGTGGAGTCAGCCCGCCTTTGAGACCGGATGGGACCCCACCAGTGCTACCAGCAGCACATGCCGCGGGCCAGGGGGTCCCTGAGGAAGAAGAGGAGGTGGTGGGGGAGCCTGGGGTGGCCCGGGCAGAGAGGAGAGAAGGCAGGAGACAGCTCAGACCTCTGGTGGCTGTTCTTGTCCTCTTGTCATCACTGCCGTTTCCCCAGTGGCTTTCCTGAGGGACAGTGTGCAGTGCTCTGCACAGGCCTCGTGACAACCGAACGACAGGAACCCACATGCAGGCTGACAGAAACCGGTGTTTGTCCCCACAGATATGTGTGAGAGGACCGAACGTGTTCAAGGGTTACTTGAAAGATCCAGACAAGACGCAGGAGGCCCTGGACAGCGATGGCTGGCTCCACACTGGAGACATCGGGCGCTGGCTGCCGGTGCGCAGGTTTGGGGCCGCGGAGCGCCAGCCCCGGGCTGATGCAGGGGTCCTTTCCGCATCCTGCCTGATGCCTAGTCACTCAGGAATACCTTCAGGGGTGGAGGTCGTGTTCTCTGCCTCGCCCCAAAGCTCCCGTAGCCTGCAGAGGCCGGGGATAGGGGTCCTTGTGAGAGGGTGGAGCTGGACCCACTCCCTGCCTGATGGCTTCCAGACAGAGCCCTGGGATCTGATGGGTGCACTGCGAGTGGCAGGCGTTCGTAGCTGTGGGAGACCCGAGACAGACACCCCATAGCTGGGGGGTGGCACTGAACTGTGTGGAGGGCTTGGAGCTGGGCTGGAAGATGGCTGAGTTCCTTTGGTGGTGACAGTGGTGGCTCTGGTGACCAGAGGCAAAGCCCCGTCCCTCTGTGGGACTCTGTATTGACTCACTTGCAGCATAAAAGTATGAGGCCATGTGAAAATCTGTGGCCATGACCCCCCACTTGTAGCCCAAATCAGTTATTGTGCCTAATTCTGTCATCTGTAAAATGGGGACACTGCCATTGTTTACCTGCACCATTATTATTGTCAGGAATAAGTGAGGTTGTACCTGTAACGCCCTTAGCACAATGCCTGGCACGTAAGAGATGCTTAGAGGGAAGCTGTGAGCAGGAAAAGGCTCTGCCACTGAAAGTGAGAGCCCTTGCTGTTCGCAGCTCGCCCCAGGAACCTGTCTTGTGTCTCCCGGAAGGTGCTAAGGTTTTGCAGGGGGTGGTGGTGGTGGGCGTTCAAAATGCTGAGTCTACCAGTCACATGAGAGGCGTTGCGTTCTCTCCAGGGCTGGTGGGCAGTTTGCCGCTGCCTGCATCCGAGTGCTTTCCTTTGAGAAGCGCTCACTCCTGCAGCAGTCGAGGCTGTGTCCTTGGTGCGCGCCCTGGGCCAGGGACTCGCTCCCGGGAGAGGTGCATCTCTAGACAGGGAGTGGCTATGGCACTAAGGAGTGAGGGGTTCGGGCTCAGGGGGTGCCACTTTTTAATGAGGCTGTTTGTCCATCTCCATAGGCGGGAACTCTTAAAATTATTGACCGGAAGAAGCACATATTTAAACTTGCTCAGGGAGAATATATTGCTCCTGAGAAGATTGAGAACATCTACATCCGAAGTGAGCCTGTGGCACAAATCTATGTCCATGGGGACAGCTTACAGGTGAATCCCTGCCCGTTGCCCTCCCAGCCGTGCTGGGCCTGCTGGAACATGTGGTTATCTTGGAATTAGTTTGTACATACTTGGTATTTGATTAAAGGGGTAAACATTAATTTCTTATCAAGTAGACAAGGAATAGTTATCAGTATTCCTCTACATATTAGATTCTGAGAGAAAATTTCTGTTTTTAAATAAATTTTTTAAAGATTTTATTTATTTATTTTTAGAGAGAGGGGAAGGGAGGGAGAAAGAGAGGGAGAGAAGAATCAATCAGTTGCCCCTCACATTCTGGCTACTGGGGACCTGGCCTGTAACCCAGGCCTGTGCCCTGACTGGGAGTCAAACCGGCGACATTTGGTTCAGAAGCCAGCACTCAGTCCACTGAGCCACACCAGCCAGGGTGAGGAGAGATTCCTATTTTAAGGAGCAATCTTAATTGCTTAGGATTTGGTGAAGTACACTTGGGTAACAAGTTGCTTGAAGTAGTAGTAATGGACACCGGCAGTACTTTTAACTTTATTTGTGTGTTTAGTAATTTTTTATTTTTCAATCACTGTTGATGCACAGTATTATATTAGTTTCAGGTGTACAACCCAATGATTTGATATTGACATTACTTATGGAGCGATCACCCCAGTGAGCCTAGTGCCCATCTGTCACCATGCATAGCTGTTGCAACATTAGTGACTATACTCCCTGTGCTGTACCTGCTACTTTTAACTAATGCTCTACCTACTTCCGAGAGGAATGGTGAAGTCAGATGCTGAGGCAAGATTCAGGGTTGCTGCCGTTTTGACTTTGCAAATGACTTTGCATATTTATGCAAATGACCTTTACAGATAAATAGGTTTAGTATTGCAAGTAACGGCACCAATGACGATACAGCGTTAAACTGCTATGTTAATTTACGTGGTTTAGTATTAAATTATTTGGAGAGGGCTTTTTTGATTTTTTTTTGTTGTTTGTTTGTTTTTCTGAGAGAGGGGGAGGGAGGGAGAGGAACATCAGTGTGTGGTTGCTTCTCACATGCCCCCTCCTGGGGCCCCCAGCCCACAACCCAGGCATGTGCCCTGACTGGGAATCGAACCAGCCACCCTTTGGTTTGCAGGCCAGCACTCAGTCCACTGAGCCACACCAGCCAGGACTGGAGAGGGTTTATTTTTATTCCGCTTCCACATTGTTTAGGTTCAAAGTCAGGAAGATCACTGTGAATCTAGTTTTTGCACTGAGTGGGTTTCTATAATTAAATATTATGAAATTATTTTAAATAATTTAATGAGCTATATTAATGAAATGGAGGACCGGATTAATTTAACTATTTTCAAATGGTCGGGAAATCCTGAGAAATACACGTTTTGGTTCCCAGAGTTACTGGTCAGCAGCCTGACAATGTACGTGTTTGAGTTTAGCATAAGAATCAAAAGTATGTGTAGATCTAACTTTACTGATTCTTAATCTTCTTAAGTTTATTCTTTATTAATTTTGTATGAAGTTAGGAAAATAGGTCAGAAAATGAACTGTCAAGAATGTGTGATATATTGGTGGAAATGTTTCATAACATAAGGCATATACTTATTTTTAGAAAAGGGAGGTGCCTGAGAATACCAAGAGATTATTTTTAAAGGTGGACCACAAATAACAACTTTAAAAGTGTCTGTCAGTAATACAATATTGTATGTCAACTATACTTGAATAAATCCAAGGGAAAAATATAAGGGCTTTTGTGACTTAAAAAAGCTTTTGTCAATTTTGGTAATTGTTTTATATTGGTGATTGGTGTATCATGTGGTACCAGTACCTTAATTTTGTATCTATATCAAAATTTTTATAGTGTTCTCAGGGGAAAAATTGACATAAATATGGCAGAGTGGAAACAAATGCTTTTGTCACGACTCGTTTTTCTTTGGTGGGACCGCAGGCCTTTTTGGTGGGCGTCGTGGTGCCGGACCCTGAGGTCATGCCCTCCTGGGCACAGAAGAGAGGAATCGAAGGGACACATGCAGAGCTCTGTGCAAACAAGGTCGGTACCGTGGGGCTGTCTCCTAAAAGGCTGCGGACCTTCCCTGATGCCGCACAACGAGGAGACAGAAACAGCAGACTGGCGGAACTGGAGCACATAGGGGGGTTTCTAGCTTTAGAAATGGCGGGAATCCTAAACCAGAAGCCCATCTCTCTTCATTGTTGTTGAAGGAACTCACATTTCTTCTTAGACGGTTTGGGGAGCGACTGAATTTTAGAGCCGGGAGACGTCACAGAACGCTGGTCCAGCCCTCTGGTCCCGCGCTGGCTGGAGGGTGGCAGCTTGGCCATGGCCCCGCAGCTGGCCGACAGCAGCGTTAGATGCGAGCACAGCCCTCTGACTCACGGGCCGCACTCTCCCCAAGTATGGGGTGGATTTTGTATCTCCTGGGCCTAGAGAGGCAGTCATGGACTTGAAAAAGTAACACAGTTCTTCCTGCTCAGAGCATTGGCCCCTCGCACCTGGCAGAAACCTTGTGGTTCAGGGAGGGCGCCGTGGAAGAGGGTCTCCATGCGCTGGCTCCGCACCAGCCCCTCCAGGCACACCCCCGTTTCTCAGCAGCAGCCACAGACCCCCTCGCTTCCTCTGGGCCCTGGGCTCATCTGGGGGCGATGGGCCCCTGGGACTCACCAGGCTGACCAGGGGGCCACTTAAAAACATCAGGTGGTTGACTTGGGGTGGTGAACACACAAAACAATATACCTGAAACCTATATAACTTTATTAACCAGTGTCACCCCAATAAATTTTTTAAATATGTCCCTTAGCCTATCACTGCTTCGGGCATGCCCAGTACTTATTTGTCAGATGAGAAGTATGCTCCCAGGGAGTGTCATCCCCCATTGTGGGGTGGGGGGGTTAGTGTGTTGGTATGAAATGTGTTTTTGCTATTGTAACTTTACCTGTGTTGTTCAATTCAGGAGCTGAAGAAAGCCATTTTGGAAGATTTGGTGAGGTTAGGAAAAGAAAGTGGACTGCATTCCTTTGAACAGGTAACTGTAACCTTCCCCATGGTTGTTAACAGCCCTTCCCAGTGATGAGATTTAAAGCAACCTAGTGACCCTGGCCTGGATCGCCCACTCCCAGGCTGTGGCTGGCAGGCAGGCCTCGCACCCACGGAGGGCCATGGCCCGTTCCAGCCTGAGGGCCGAGGCCTGCGTCCCGGGCTGAAATGGGTCACAGATCGGGTGAGGCGGCTGGCTGTCCTCGGCCTCTCGGACGTTCAGAAAGCCGAAACAGGACCCGAGCCATCACTGCTGGATCACGTGCACGCGGCCTGTCTCCAGGCTGCCCTGCTCCTGACCAGGGCCCTGTCTTATTTTTATTTTCACGGGGATATTCTTCTTGGCTGCAGCAGGCAAGCTCACTGGCTAGAGCACTGGAAAAATTGTGCTCTTCAGGCCAATGATCTGTTAGCACAGCGTGCGCAGGGCGAGGAGGGAGACCCGAGGGACACATGGTGGGGGGGCGCGGTGGCAGCTCTCCCCGGCCTTTCGTCTTTGCGAGGGTGCGGTTCTTACTGTAGCTGAGGTCAGAAGCAACTTGGTCCTGCTTACATGTAGCATTTATACATCTTCTCTAGTCGAAAATTCAAGAAGAATTTATGAAGCAGAAAAAAATACTGATTATTAAAATTTCCTGGTGTCATTAATATAATTATTTTTCATAAAATTTTGTTTCTCCAGTAGAGTCCCCAAATATAGTATTAGAGACCTGTATGTTCATTTTGATGATAACCTAAAACATTTTAAAACCAGTTTTAAATGTAAAGCTCTTAGAGCAATTCTGTGCAGTTAAAAAACATTTCCACTGTTTTAGACTAACTTTTTTAAGTTTGAAACTGAAGAAATGTAAACATAGTTGCAGGGGCTGAGAGATCGCTTTTCTTTTGAAGTAGATCTCTACATTAACCTAGTTTGAGAAACACTGCTTTCTGTCATCCTACAGCACGTTTTAGGGCAAACAAGACCCGGATGAATACATCTTCATAAAGTCATAAAACTAAAATCGTAAAATCTGAGACACTCAGGCAAGTTATATTTACCTCTCTGAGTGGAGGGTCAATTCTGGCTAAGCAGTTATTTAAATGTCTAAATTTGGCGGAACTGACCTCACTGCCCTTCCATAAGGGAAGCTGCTGACCAGATCGTATGGTCAGGTGGATCCGGGGCCACAGATGGGTGGTCCACGGCCTGGCTGGTCCCGCCTGCCTGCGTTGTAAAGGGCTGGCTCTGAGGGCCCTGGGCATGGCCCAGGTCTGGGGCCAGGATTACTGAACTGACCAGTTCCCGTGATTCCTGAGGACTGCACGCCCCCTGCTGGGCTTAGATGCATGACCAGCCCCAGGGCACGAGGGGAATCTGACAGCTAGGTTTCCTCCTCCTGGAAAAGACCACCGACTCTTGAGATTATGCTTGAAAGGCACCTTTGGCTATGTTTCCAGGGTTAACCCGTGGGCTGGGCGAGTCAGAGTTTTCACCGAAAGGAGACGTGTTCTTGACTTTCCATGAGCCTTAAGCAGAGTTCCTGCTCTAATGATCTGCCTCGCCATGGTAACTCCAAACACAGAGAAGCCCTGTGGCGTCCCAGGGGCCTGAGTGCTGCTGCCAAGGCTGTCCCCTCTTTGTTGGTCTGCGGTGTCCTCCCCGACACAGCCAGGGTGCGCCGTGGCTGACCACAGGCCGGGCATCCTGCCTGAGGGGGGCCCACTGGTGTTTCGAAGTTCAACAGAAACTGAGTCAATCCATAATCCATCGTCAGCCCGTCCTTTTCTCTTTTCCTCAAATGTGAATGATCAGTTAAGGTGTAACCCTAGTCTTTGAAGAAACACACATAAATAGGCTTAAATCATTCAACAAAAAGTGAAAAGAGTACAGACTTATTGGGTAGGGTTGATGTGAATTAAACTTTGAATTTGATTTAAAAAGTAATGTAATTTAACTTATAGAAACAGACAATCCCTGGAACTAAGCCACCCATTATTAATTTATGGGGATCTTTGGAAGTTATGTTTTAATGAGTAGACATGAAGCATTTAAAGTAACTCTCAATAACTTTGAAACGTGGGCACCTGGGAAGTATTTGAGCATAGTTAACCACTTCCTTGACTTTTGTATGCTTTACTAGTTTGTACAGGCAATACTAAGTGAACTTTGACGTGATAGATTTTTCAAATTGTGACTGGGAAACCTTCATTAAAATATTTAATTGTATTTCCTGTCATTGAAATAAATACTTACCTAATCAATATGCCTTTAAATTAGAAATGAATTGAACATTTTCCTAATTAATTTAAATGTTTTTCTACTTTATTCTTCTGTCCTAAATTAATCACTCTCTGTTTATTCTCTACAAGCAATATTGCGTGTTAAAAGTAGTTCATTGAGTGAAAAATGCCATTGAAAAAATTTAATTACTGTGTTTCCTCAAAACCAAGAAGAGTTCTGTGCTGTGAAAAGTTGGCATAAATTGACACTTTTCAGGTATTTTATTCCAGTACAATATTTAAATGTTACATTACTTCTAAGTTTTAAAAAGCCTGTAGAACCACTTTGCAGTGACAAGAAGGTAGTTTCAGAACAACGGCGAACAGCGTCTGCTTTCTTTCCTCAGCAAAACATGTGCTTAGTACAAATTGGAAACTGAGTTTCATGTTCTTCTATTAGGCATAAAGGGTGCTTATTCTCATTCGCTTTTTCACACTTGACAGTTTAGTTGCACTCGAACATATATAATTATTTATAAAAAGTGAAATTGGTGTTATCGTCTCTTTAAAAACTGCAGGCCTGTGAGCCTCCGAGAGAGGCAGTGCCGGACCCCGGGTGTGACCCGTCACCTCACGTACTGCCTGGGCTTTCGGTTGCTGGGGCAGTTTGTGTAGTGTTTTCCTGGGAGAATGTGCAGAGACCCGGGGCTGTGGGTCGGACTGGAGCCGGATGCCCCTCCGATCACTCCCCGAGGGGCCGAGAGCGGAGCCGAGCGCCATGCTGCTCACTGACGCCCCCCCAGAGCCTCTTTGTAGAGTCAGCTTGAACTGCAGGTGCCCCGTCATCCCTGCGGCTTGCTGCGGCCAGCTGGTTTGACAAGATACTCAGGATCTACCTGCACGTGCCATCCTTTCTTCCTAGGATCATAATGTTTTCTTTTACCTTCCACTTACCATCTGCAGAACATCATGGAGCTCTCCCTATGAAATCCATCTTCCCTGAACTGTACTGCTCTTAGCTTCTGCTGGTCACTCCTGGGTTTTCAAAGCTTTGCTCACCCCCACGCCTGTGCTGAACACAGACTCTTGTACTCGTTACACGGTGTTCTCCACATGCTGCTAGGGAGGCTGAGCAGCTGGAGCCAGGCTGCGGGGACACTGTGGAAGTTACATCTTGGCATTTGCAGCTCCTTCTAAAATTATATAATTAATTTCACTTACAAAAGGAGGCGGTTAGCTGATGGAAACAGTATCACATAGGTGGATTTGGGGTCCCCAGGATAGTTTCTGTTTGATAAAAACAAATTAGGAAAAAGTCTATTCCCGAGAGTATAGGAAACAGCAGCCCTGTTCCCTATCAACACCTTGCTTCTCTGAACCTTAACTAATTTTGAAACATTTGATAATCACCCCTTTTAGCCCAGATTCCCAGCTATTTATACTGGATATCCAAAAAGAAATGATTTTACTGTGTGAAGTGGAGTTGAGGCAGCTGCCTGTAAGGCTAGCTCTCCTTTTAGCCTTAAGTTCCCTCCTCCCCTTCATTCCCCTCCACTCCCCTCCACATGAAGCCCTTAATATGATGTTCTTTTTATAAAAAGTGAATCCTCCATTTGAAAAAATTTATGAGAGACAAAGAGGAATCTGATTTATTAATGCCGTGTTTGTTTGAAAACTTTCACATTTTTAAATTACAAGCATAGGTTAAAAAAGCTAGAATTTGTTAAAAATTAAAGCTTTTAAAGAAGTTGGAAGGATAGCTGTTTTAGAGGTGCTCTTTGTATATTGAGTTTTTGATCTGAAAATTTGGTGAATGTAATGGAGAGTTTTCTGAGCAAAGAATTCTGTGACATCTCAGAGTACCCACCTGCCAGGGTACTAGACTATGAGCATCAGAGAGTTTGAAAACTATCAATGACGTTCTGAATTTTTGCAACTATTTGCATACATTGGGTTTTTTCCAGTTTGGTTTTTGTTGTTGTTGTTGTTGTAGTAAAGTACACATAAGATAAAATCTATCATCTCGACCATTTTTAAGTGTACAGTTGAGTGGTGTTGGGTGCATTTGTAATACTGTACAACTAGTACCACCTTCTGTCTCCATAATTCCTATCATCTTGTAAAACCGAGACCCTCCAGTGTTGTTACACAGTCACTCCCAATTCCACGCCGCTCTCCTCCCCGCCCCTGGCAGCCACCGCTGCACTTTCTGCCCCCGAAACTCTGATTGCCCGGAGCACCTCATCTGAGCCGAGTCACGCAGTGTTTGTCTTTCTGTGACTGGCTCACTTCACTCCGCTCCGTGTCCTCAAGGTTCATCTATACCATAGCATATGCTAGAATTTTCCTCCTTTTTAGCGTGAATAGTGTTCCATTGTACGTGTATACCACATTTTACTTATCCATTCATTCACCGATGGACATTTGGATCGCTTCCACATTGTAGCTCTTGTGAATAATGCTACTGAGAGCATGGCTGCACAGTGATCTTTTGGAAACCCTGCTTTCGATTCCGCTTCTGGGAAATAGCACGAAGTGGAGTACTGGGTCACCCAGTAGTTCTATTTTGAACGTTCCGAGGAAATGCCACACTGTTTTCCACAGTGGCTGCACCATTTTATGTTCCTACTAATAATGTACAAGGGTCCCGATTTCTCTATATCTTCACTTTTTATTTTCTGTTTATTTGAATGATAGCCATCCTACTGGGTATGAGGTAGAATGTACATTGATTTTTGAAGTAAGTCGTTTCCTGATTATATCTATTGATTTTTTATTCTTTAATTG